ACAAGTAATTTTGTCTCGAAAACATCTAATACAGCTGTAATCAATAAAAACACGAAGGTTTCGATCAAATTCTCTGGCAATATCCTTAACAAATGTGACTTTATTGCTCATGTACTTAACAAATGCAACTTATCCTTAACAAAAAAACCAAGGAAGAGACTACCCAAACAACATAGAACAAACTAAGGGAAAATGGCGGAGAAACATATAAAACTGCGTATAGGCAAAACGAAATAAATCGGCTAAATAATGACTTTTGGTCCTAGTGAAAAAGAGTCGTTATTAAGTGAAAGAACATCCAAATTACAAACCATAAGGAAGTCAGACATGAAATGAAATAGTCACCTCTTGTTTTTCTCTTCCGAATGCAATATACAGATAAGGTGGTGAGAAGAGCAATCAAAGCGACACAAGCCATTGCTATTCCCACTTTCCCAAACTTGGAAAGCTCTCCTTTTGATTTCCTAGCATATTTTGCTGGGAAGAGTTGGAAGAAAGAAGTCATAAACACAGAGCATAAAACAGAGGAGGAAAAATAAATAAACAAAGAATTAAAATATTGTAATTACCAAGTTCAGTGGCATCAACACGAACATATAAATCATGGCCTTCATCACTTAAAACCATTGTGTCCGTCAAAGTCCCATGCCAAGCTAAGCACCCACTTCCTCCATTTCTCACATCTGCAGCTGCATAGGCATTACAAGAACAGTTTCTCAAGCACTCTTGTTTACATTCTTCCACACTCATATTCATATTAACATTTGCTAAAGATGTATCAGGAATTTTAACCCTTTCTACTCTGACAAAGCCTTCTCCATTATTCCCACACACGGATGGCCCTTTCTTCCTCACACAACCCTCTGTTCGATGGAAATGTTGATACCAATCTGTTGGATTTTTGGGTTCAAACCCAGGTAGGCAGAAACACTTGAAATACGCATAGTCATAAGAGTCACAGTTTCCATTGGCCCCACAGGAACCATACATGTCACAATCTACTTTTGGACCATACCAGTATCGATTCCATTGTATCTTATTAGAATCCCATATCAGTACTTGAAAAGATCCAGATTGAAGAGCTACCGCCCGCACAATAATTGTCTTGTCAAAAGCGTTATATCTAAACGCAACCTCATTGTCATCATCCAAGATGGTCATATTGAAATCACTTGCCATTGCTTGTTTCATAAACGGATTGCCAACATACATTTCGCCGTTGAAGGATCCAATACGCCACCATGGGGCATTATTATTGTACAAGAACAACTGGGATTTCCCACTAGTATTGAACCCAACAGAGAAGCTTCCTGTTCCAGGATCATCCTCGGTCTTCCATGACTGCAAGAACTCACTCTGACCAGTTCTTTTGTTGACTCCAATTCTGGCATACGGAAGCAAGGTATCGGTAGGATGATCAAAGCTCTGCCAGATAATAGTTTTGGAATCATTTTGAATCAAAACGAGGTTACCTAAATCTGTGAGTTGAACCATAACTTCTGTATTTGGAACAGTGACAGAAGCATTCGTAGACCAGAGGGGCATGTCAGAATAGTTACCATGCAGAACCAGATTTCCATTTGAGCTGATAGAGAGAACTCCAGAGGTGTCATTCATGGGATTGTCTCTATTTGAAACCCAAACAACAGTCTGCTGTTGCAAATTGTAGTACCAAATTCCTACATAGCGATAGTTTGATTTGCCTGGAGCGAAGAACCCAAGAGCAAACTTATTTTCCTTAGAAATGAGAATATCACCATCACTTAGAGGCTTGTCAGTGGTTATGATATCAGTAGCTGCGCAAAACAAGAAGCAGTGATGGATTATGACAAACAAAGTAAGCAGTTCTTTTGCTGCCATGATTAGTTGTCCTGGGACCTGGTCTACCCCTAACTTCACCAAGAACCACCAGTGCTGTTGCAAATTTGGTTCTGGCGACCAGCGATGGTTAATAAAGTGAAGCATCTCGGATAGGAAAGCAAGAAAGGAACTTGAGTACGTAATCTAACAATCCGTGTGTGCGCGTGCGCATATCTCATCAAAAGACAAGCTGTTAAATTATGCGAAGAAGTTTGTACAAAATATCACGTAGCAAAAAAAAAACAAAACTTAATATAAGAGATATTGTTATTATATGTAAGACATACTTAACATGTTTATCAATTTTCTTTTCAGATTAATCCTATTGATACTCCTCCAACAATAATTAAATAGGAGAGGAAAGAAATGGGTTAAGAAAAATATTTAGGGTGTCTTAAAAAAATATATCATATTAACTAATTTAACTAATATTTTTAATCTACTCAAATTAATTAATTAGGTCTATAAAATAATTTAATGGTGTTTTCTGAAAAGAAAAAAAAAATCCTCACACGAGCTGCTGGCCATCAAGACGCTTCTGGCTGGCACAAGAAAAGTTGAAGTCAATTGACTTTTGAGCATCAGAGCCCAGCAGCCGCGAGACACAGAAGCTATGATCTTCCGTGAATGGTTTTTTTCAATTTTCAACTTTCTCGCAGCATATAATCTTTGAATATCTATTTCTCAAAAGTTGTTCCAATTGACAAAGTCTTGTGATACTGAATAAGTCATCTCAAAGCTGACACATGTCACGCTTGTTTTCACAATGGTGCTAATAAAGCCATAACTACAATTTGACAAGGAGATATTGTCCAGGTAATTTTTATTAAATAAATTAGAATTAAAATTAAACAACGAAGATTAAAACTTCCTTTTAGTTAACTGAATAGTCATCGCTTGGTTCTAATTTAAAAGAAAATTTTCGTTGAAAAAATTTATTAAAATTTGTTTGAGTGGCACATGATTTATTAGGTAAGTTGTGTTTCTAAGATTTAGTTTAAAATGAAGAAAAAACAAGAGTCAATTAAAATTTTAAAACATATAATATATCATTGCCTTGATGAAATATTTTAGAAGCAAGCAAAGGAACAAAACCTCTTTCTTTCTGCCAGCATTTTGTTTTCAAGATTCAGATTTGATTTCATTACATCTAAAATTTGAAATAAAAAATATAATGTCAGAAATACATATAAATGATTTTGGCCAAAAAAAATGAAATTAATTAAAAAAACCCTTCTGAAAAAGTTATGAGTCTATAAACTTGTTTTTGAATTGACGTCGACATTTTGGCAAAAAAAAAAAAAGGCCTCGACATATTTTCTACACTTTCATCCTGACAAGCAAAATTTTAATAATAAAATATTCCAACCTCCCATTCAACAAGTAAAATTTTCAAAAATAACACTCACACTTCTCAATGAAGCAAGGAGAATTTTTAATAGTTTCAACATATAGTCTAATGACCGATATTTCCATCTTCGAAAGTGCATGAATATGCCCATAAGCTTGCCATAAAAGGCAAGTGATTAATCTTTGTAATTACTTAAAAGGCGTAAAATCACTAATGGGCTTGTCATATTTTTCCGCAATTTCATTTTGACAAGCAAAATTTTCAAAAGCAGAACTCCCATTCCACAAGTAAAATTTGAAAACACAACGATCACGAACGAAACGAAGAATTTTGAACAATTTCAACATATAGCTTGATCTCTGTATAAAATCTGACTCACGTGTACTTATATTCTAATTAGGGGTATTTACGGGATGGAACCGGTGTCTTGGTCCTGTCCAGGTGAACAGGGACATGATTGGGATTTTGTCTCATGTCTTGTCTCATCCCGCTTCCTCTTTTTTTTTAAAAAAAGTACTATAATTTTTATATGAATTTTTTTTATGTTATAATATTTATTTTTTATTGAGCTTCTAAAGATAAAAACATTGTAAAAAAAATATTATGTAGAAAGCTTAATTATATAGTATAAAAAAGGTGTAAAAATAATACTATAAAAAAATACCGTAAAAGAAACATTATATAATAACTTTATGAATTATTTTATTGAGAAAGGAGATTTTATTGAGATCATATTATAACTTAAGAGCTAAAAATCATCATAAAAATAAAAATTATTATTAATAAGTAAATTGAATAATCTAATAATAATTATTAATAAATTATTTTTAAAAAAAAACTGGCGCGTCCTGCCTCGTTCCGGTTAGTGTCCCGTCTCAAAATTTTTTTTGTCCCGTCTTGTCCCGTCCCAAACTCATCGGGACTGGGATGAAACAAATTGAACACTCCTAATTCTAATATACTCATCGTGTCCTAATTATAAGACCCGTGTAATTTACTCTATAAGGAGTAATAAATAATTATGATTATCCTTCTCATATATATCCATCAAATGCACAATATATTTGTCATTTTGTCTTCCACATAAATAGCAATTTTCATTCAGTACTATTTTTTTTTAATAAATTTTTTCCCCAGAATCTCATGGAAATTGGTAAACAAGTGGCGTGTATAGGATTCAATTCACATATGTAGGAGATCCAATATGAATAATATGAATTCAGGTATGCTCAACAACTTTTCAATTATAATTTGTGAAATACTAGATAAATACTACCTCCAATCCTAATTATAAGACCTAGTTGACTAATTTGAGGAGATTAAGAAAGTAAGTTAAGTTAGTTATTTATAATAAATAAGTATTGTCATTCCTAAAATATCATTGCTAATTAAGTGTATTGGCTAAAACTATCATTATTAGAAGGATTATTTTGAAAAAAAATGCATAAATATGAGAGACAATGAATTGAGGTCTTATAATTAGGACCAAACTAAAAATCAAACCGGGTCTTATATTAAAGACAGAAGGTAGTATATAATAAATTTTTTTTCCAATTTATATGAAAATGCTTATAAACAATTAAAATAAGTAAATGCAAGAAGTCCGAATGAGTTTTGCTTTTATCACATTCATAATCCACCAACTTTTTCAATATATATACCCATGAGGATCGCACTATTGGGCGAAAAGGGGAAGAACTAGGACCATACCTGAGTCTGATCTGAGGTGGGCACACTACTCAAAATCCTTCAGCAAAGGGTCAGTCACTGGACATTCATAATCAAATATCAACGAGCCAATCCAAACTATGAATCTGAACAAGAAGAAATTACCATAACATTGTGTTCGTTATCAGCTAAATATCGTCCATGTAAGTATAACCATACCCATACCATTTACCATAAAGAAATATGAACTCTGTAATACGAAACATGCAGAGGAGTATTATCGATCATCTGAAACCCATTTTCTACATTTTGTTAGCACCAAATTTTCAGCAGCTTGGTCAAACAACTTTCTGGGTAACAACAACAAGAATTGACTTAGGGTACGGAAGGTAAAGTGGATCCACAGAGTTCAATTTCTATTCAAATTCAATTTCTATTCAGAAGTTAGCCTATAGAGAAACACTTGCAAGGAGGACGAAAGGCGATGGATATGAGAAATGCAGGTAACCTCTTCAAATCTCTTATCCATCGCTCAATCGCCCCCAGCTCTGAAATCTTTTCCCCGGTTCCTCCTAAGAATCACGTTTATTATCGATTATTAGATATGAAATGGAAAATGGTGAACCGATTTCGATTCGCACCTTAATTGTAAAATCCCTGACCTGAGTTTTCCACTTTGGCGTCAAGAAGCAGAGCGATAAAGCGAGAAAATGAGGAGGCATGACGGCTGAAGAAAAATTGAGGAAGCTATCGGCTAACCTATCTCTTCCCTTGTCTTCCATTATGAACGTTGGCTGAAAACAGAAGCCTGGCTGGATGCGCAGTTGAAACAGTGATACAGAGACGCATAAAAATGATGATAGGGGAAGGTTCAATCAAGCAAATGGTGAGGTAAAATAGACGATTCAATATGATTTCTCATCGGGAAGAGAAGTTCGTGACTCCCATCGATAGAGAGCAAAAGAGGTCGAGAGAAGAAAGCCGAAGAGAGAAGAAAAGCCAGAGAGAGTTTGATCGGAAAAGCCACACAACTGTTATGTTTCAGCTCAATTTATAGCATACGCCTGGCATGTGTTTGATAAAATGCTTGAGTGGCAGTCAAGTTTGGACAGACATTGTGTCCAATAATTTTGCTTCCCCATATCTCTTTACTACTTTTGAGCGCTTAATTGGCCAATGCATCCCATTATTTTGTTGCTGAGTATCTGACTAAATACGATTGTTGCTGGTCTTGAACAGTAAGTTCAATTTGCTAGAAGAGCTTAACTAAACGCATAAATAAGAGCATAAATACTTGTCATGCGAATTGTGCCATTAAAATAATGTTTCTAGGCTGGTTCCTTGGCTGGTCTACTATGCTTCTTGCAGTATGGCCAACGCTCAAGAAGGGAAGTGAATTAGGTACCTTATAAAACTTCATTAAAACCCTTTTTCCCAATCGAAAACAGTGCAACGTTGACAAGTTGGGAGAATGAAGCAATGTATAAAATGAGATCTGAAATGAATTAGCAATGAGTTAAAAGAGAGCAGAGACAAAATATTTATATTGGTTGACCCCAAACCACTTGGCATATACCCAATCGTCAAGTAAACGATAAGGGATTTTCACTATTTGCAAGATTTTCACAAATGGGCACTTGCAGCTACAATATGACACCAGATTGATTTACTCTTGATATCTTTCTCAACCCTTGTAGATTGTTATCTCCAACAATTTCAGTCAAGGATACCTCACCTTGAGCATTTCTCACAAGAAAAAGAGAATTGAATGCTTGTAAAACTCTCAAAAGAGTATATCATACAGTCGAAGCACTAAATAGAACAAAGAGAACTTCTAATACTAGAAATAAATGCAACGAATGAATGCTAAGAAGTTTTTCACTTCATTATTGAGAATAAACTAGGGAGGAACAATCAAGCCGAAGATGCTTTGTCTTGTTCACTCTATCTTGTATTTAGAATTCATTTGTGGATATAGTATATGATCTTTCCGTTGTATAAAAGAAAAGGGTATATCATCAAATGTTCCTCTTCACTAATTTAAGAAGTTGAATGACAAGATTAATCTTCATTTCACTGTTATTAGTGCCCCACAGTGTTTCGAACGCAGTTGTTTTCATTAAGAAAATACCTATGCCTAGTAGGGGGAAAAAAAGACAAATGCAATTAGAGAGGGTGTGAATAACTGATTACTGAATCTTCTCTTTGATTGGCCACTTTCTGCATTTTATCCCAACAACTTTATTGTTTTTTTTTGTGTTGATTCCCTTTGTGGAATGTCAACCATTAAACTATTTTATGTTCTATCGCATAGTTGTCCTCGATATTCCTAAGGGAAATTCTTATGAGGTCTCAAAAAAGAAATTTAATTATAAAAAAAATCTCAATGACAAGTAACCAACATGTTATCATCTTACTCTTAAACTTGTCATTGTCTGCTTTTCAATTCAATGAATTTTAGGATAATTAGATCCATTCTTTAGAACCTGATTGTAATTTTCTCATATTATCAGTCAATCATTAGACAAAGAGAATCCAATGGGGATTAATTTTTGCGGCAATTTACGGAGTTGTATGAGAATAAATTGGTGGGAAAATGGAAAAAAAAAATGATAAGTTCGCAGATGACGTACAAACGCTTTCCTTGGCATGAGAATAAATTGCAAGAGGAATAAAGCCCTATTTCATTCTACCCAACCTTAAACAATATCCTCTCTTTGTGGACAAGCTCCATCGTTGAATTTTTTTTTAAATTCCGGTTCTTAATATGAGTTGATTAAGAGTTGAATTTGATTTTAAATATAAGATGTGGGTTAATATAATTTTTGATCCCTTAAGTTTACTTTTATTTTGATTTTGATCTCTCAACTTTTAAATCATAAATTTTGGTCCCTTAAGGGGTAAAATGATCCTAGTCTTTTGAATAGAAAATATTTTTTGTGACAATGAATCACAATGAACTATTTCATTCAAACATATTACCTTCGGTCCTTAATACAAGAGTTAGTCGACTAATTTGAATAGATTAAAGAAATTAGTTAAGTTAGTTATTTGTAATAAATAAGTGTTGTCTTTTCTGAAATATCTTTGCTAATCAAGTGTATTAGCTAGAATTACCATCATCACAAGGATTACCCTAAGAAAAAATGGATAAATATGAGAGATAAAGTGAATTAGAGTTTTATATTTAGGACCAAAATAAACATCAAACAAACCCTTATATTAAAAACTGAAAGTATTATTATTTTTAGTCCTATATTAAAAATTGAAAGTATTATTATTTTTAGTCCTAAATATAAAATCCTAGTGCAATTTACATTCTAAATGAATATTATATTTCGGATGGGTGGTAGTAGTTAGACTATACTCCCTCTGTCTTATATTATAAGCAACAATTACTATCTCCCTCTTGTTCTTAAATATAAGCAATATTTACAAGTTGTTTTAAATTTTTGTAGCGAATTCTTTATTTTGCCCTCATTAATTACTTATTTTAATATTTAACATATTTATTATCTTATTTCTCAAACCATCATCTCTCGATCACACATTCTCTCTCTTCTATAATTCTCTTTATTATAATAGTTTTCTTATTCTCTCTCTTATACTCTCTCCCCTCATAAATAGGGGCATTTGAGTGGAAAAACTTTTAATTTTTACATACTTATTATCTTTAACTAATTTTAACTAACATTTTAATCTATGTGATGAGTTCCAATGTTGTTTATAACATGGGACGGAGAGAGTAATTAGGTTAGGATTAATCAATGAGGTTGAGAACTGAGAAGGGTCCTATGCATTGGTTGGTAAAGGACGAAGTGCGTTGTTGGTTAACAGTAAATTGAATGTATCCCGGCAAATACCCACAAACAAAATTTACTCAGTAACCAGGTAGGGAGGATTTTTCTTTGCCAGTGGTTCACAAGCATAGTTTAATATAAGAAGTCAAATGAGAATAAATCGGTGCGAGCAAAGCATAGCTGAAGAAGGTAATCTACTAAATTTGGCTTTTAATATAAAACCCAATTAATTAATTTGGAGAGATTAATTAAACTTAAAAAATTAATTTAAAATATTCATATTTATGATTTTGTCTAAACTAATTTGCGTAATTAACTTATAAACTGATATATAATTCAATGGTACACTTAAATATTTTATAAAGATCATGTAATATATATCATAATTAAGTAAGGGAAAAAGACAAAAAAATGCACCTTTAATTTCAGAAGCCCAAAAACGTCCGCTAAATTCAAGAAATCCCATTTTGGTACCATGAGACCAAATTGGGATTATTATGTAAAAGGAAAAGACCAAATTGCCCTTCATTTTAAATATTATTTTAAAAATATCACAGCCCCTACTGGCCGGTCACCGGACCTCCGGCGGCGGCAGTCACCGGAGCTTCGGCGACCAGCCGACAATTGGTCACCGGAGCTCCGTCGGTCGAAATTTTTTTTTTTGAAAATTTTTACAACTTCAATATAACGGTTAACAACTTTTGTAATGCTATTAACAACTTCAGTATAGCAATTAACAACAGCTTTTCTGGGAAATTCAACAAACTCCGGCAACCGGAAACAATTTTTTTGAAAATTTTTACAACTTCAATATAACCGTTAACAACTTTTGTAATGCCATTAACAACTTCAATATAGCAATTAACAACAGGTTTTCTGGGAAATTCAATAAACTCCGGCGACCGGAAACAATTTTTTTGAAAATTTTTACAACTTCAATATAACGGTTAACAACTTTTGTACTGCTATTAACAACTTCAATATAGCAATTAACAACAGCTTTTCTAGGAAATTCAACAAACTCTGGCGACCGGAAACAATTTTTTTGAAAATTTTTACAACTTCAGTATAACAGTTAACAACTTTTGTAACCCTATTAACAACTTCAATATAGCGGTTAACAACAGGTTTTTGAATTTGTTAAAGGCATTACTGAAGTTATAAAAAAGCCACTTTTTGAACTTTTCAAAAAACTTGTTGTTAACTGCTATATTAAAGTTGTTAACCGTTATATTGGAGTTGTAAAAATTTTCAAAAAAAATGTAATTGTTAACGTTATACTGAAGTTGAAAATTTTTACAATTTCAATATAACAGTTAACAGCTTTTATAATGCTATTAACAACCTCAATATAGCAATTATCAACAAGTTTTCTGGGAAATTCAACAAACTCCGGTGACCGGAAATAATTTTTTTGAAAATTTTTACAACTTCAATATAACGGTTAACAACTTTTGTAACCCTATTAACAACTTCAATATAGCGGTTAACAACAAGTTTTCTGAGAAATTCAACAAGCTCCGATGACTGGAAATAATTTTTTTTATAAAATTTTTACAACTTCAGTATAACAGTTAACAACTTTTGTAACGCTATTAACAACTTTAGTATATCAGTTAACAACAGATTTTTTTGAAAAATTATACAACTCAAAAACCTGTTGTTAACCGCTATACTGAAATTGTTAATAGGGTTACAAAAGTTGTTAACCGTTATACTGAAGTTGAAAAATTTTTAAAAAAATTATTTTCGGTAGCCGAAGTTTGTTGAATTTCCCAGAAAAACTGTTGTTAATTGCTATACTAAAGTTGTTAATAGCATTACAAAAGTTGTTAACCGTTATATTGAAGTTGTAAAAATTTTCAAGAAAATTGTTTCCGATCGCCGGAGTTTGTTGAATTTCCCAGAAAAGCTGTTGTTAATTGCTATACTGAAGTTG